GATGGCCCCTCAAGTATGCATTTCTCAGAGGAACCCAGCCTTACACATAGGGCACTGAAGGAGTTACATCGACATGGATATCCAGCATGGATCCACTGCTCACCAGCTAGTCGCCTTAGGCCCAGACCCTTAACTGTGCCACCCTGCGAGACTGAGTGCTGCTGATGTCCCACACTGCTGGCTCAATGCCGTTAGGCTTTCCTGATTTGCTCTGGAGTCAGTGCCAGGGCTTTTGATGTCTTTGAGAGGTGACCTGTGGACAGAGAAAATATCCCTGGCAGCTGGTTAGGCTGGGCTGTGTGTTCAGGGCCAGTAGGCTGCAGCCCTTAGTGAGGGCCCACGCCGAGGCTTAGCTGTGGTGGGTTAGCTGTGGTGGCTGGGCTGTATACCTGAGGATGAGCGGTGTGGATGAGCTGCTGGAGGACTCAACAGATGGTTGCAACCTGGCCAGGGTTGGAGAGTGGGTGCTGGAGTAAGCCAGAGGCATACCAAGAGGAAGCATTGCTATGTAGGAAGAGGGGGGCCCTGCAAGCTACCCCACCCTCTAGAAACCGAGTAGAGGAAGGCTCAGTCTGCCCCACAGCTTCCTGGCTATCAGATGGCTCTGCACCTCCAGGAGGCACATAAAGCCACTCTGAAATTCACGTGTGCTTTGGCTAGGATGGCAGCAGGGATGTGACCCTCACTGTCACCGGGAAGCCTTCTCGGCAGCCGTGTAGATCCTCACCGGAGCCCCTCCCCACCCCATATTACACTTCTGAGAATCCTGTGAAGGTCTGGAGAGATGGCTTGGAGGTTAAGAGCACCGTCTGCTCTTCCAGAGGCCCTGAGTTCAATTCCCAGCAACCACAGGGTGGCTCACAACCATCTACAATGTGATCTGGTGGTGCCTTCTTCTGGCAAGCAGGTGCACATGCAGATAGAGCACTCACACACATAAAATAAATAAATAAATCTTTAAAGCCAGGCGTGGTGGTGCGCCCCTTTAATCCCAGCACTTGGTAGGCAGAGGCAGGCAGATCTCTGCGAGTCGGAGGCCAGCCTGGTCTACAAAGTGAGTTCCAGGACACTCAGGGCTGTTGCACAGAGAAACCCTGCTTGAAAAAAACAAAACAAACGAACGAATCCTGTGTCCTGGACCAATGCTGTTCAACAGAAGTACAGTGTGCGTTACATATCCAATAAAGGCAATTCCTATAGCCACTTTACAATGTAGAAGGAAACAGGTAAAGTTAATTTTTAAACTGTTCACTTCGGGCTGGAAAGGTGGCTCAGTGGTTAAGAGCACTATTCCTGGGTTTGTGTCATAGTCACACAACGTCTGTAACGACGGTTTCAGGAGGCCCAATGTCTCTGACCTCCATTAGCACTTGCATTCATGTGTGCAAACCTATATACACACACACACACACACACACACACACACACACACACACACACACACACAC